TGATATTCCTTTGATAATTGGCCTTGGTGTATCGGCACGCAAGTGATATACTGTTCCGCTCCTACGGCAGGAATGACCAGAGAACTTCAGGAACTGCATAAGGTCCACCTCGCCAATAGAGTTCGGTAGAAACTGGGCCAAGCTTTTAACCTCCGCCGTAAACTTCTTATAGATTTTGTGGAAGATTCTAAGTGGCCTGGCCGTCGCGTCTCGGAGGGCGATCATAGTGTGGCAGCAGCACCATTTCCCCCTTCGTTCACACACAGCCTTCGAAGCATCACACGAGGTCTCCACGTACTCAATCTTGTTGACTTTGGTGATACCGGGATGTATTCTAATATGAGTTCCAGGGACCCCAGGTAGTATCTCAGTGATATCCTGGCTTCTTATGCGCAGAAACTCGCCGGACCTTAGGCTCAGTGATATCCCGCTGAGGAAAGCTGATCGTACAAGGCCTTTCTCTGGTTTACCCTCGGACTGGGATTCCGGACAGTCAAATAGGAACTTGATTGCACTCTCGGGCATAATGGCAGCGCGCTTGGCATCCCGCTGGGGCCTTACGCGTGAAACGGCTTGCATAGCTTGCTTAATCAGCGCTTCATCCGCGACATCCATGGTGCTAAAGCCTTCCAGTTTCTGCAAAGTTCTCAGAGCTGTAATTCGCTTCTGTGCTGAGGTCGAGTTCAGCTCAGTTACATCCAACAGGCATCTGATGGATCGGATAACTTTCCCGGCGTTGAGAGGGAAGGACAACCCCATCTCATAGAACTCTCTCCTTGCCCTCTCGTAGCCTCTTCTTGTGTCCTCACTTATCGAGAGCCCTAGTAGCTCCAGATTCTGAGTAGTAGCCTCAGCTGAACCGTGTGCAGGCTGCATCTCGTTCCACTTAGTGAAGGCAGAGTTTTCTGACATGTAAGATGTTGAGGTCCAACGATGACGGACAAATCTGGGGTACCTCAAGTTGGCCCACCCAAATTGACAGGAACTCAGTCGGATTCGCAAACGAGAAACCGAGCAGTATCTTAAGGGGGAGTGAACGTCACAACTTTTTGGAGGACTTGACGTGGTACTTCCGGCCACGACCTCGGCATTTGACCGGTGGACACCAACGAAGCACGAGTTAACCTAGAGATATCGTCAGCTATGTTGTTCAGGGTCCCGGCAATGTGATGAGCATTGAGTCGATAACGGAGGTCGCCGAATTTTCGAACGACAGAAGCAAGGCTCATAGAACGCGACCTGAAACTTCTTAGTACTGACACCGTACATGTGTTGTCAGAGAAGCATCTGATATAAGTCTCCCGGGGAGCACATATTGCCCAGATGCATTCGCAGCCGTATAGACTGCGAGTAGCTCGAGGAAAT